ACGTTTATGAAGTTCTCGAAATGTTTATAAAGATCTCTGTACTTCTGTGAAATTTTCGAAGTTATTCTGGACTTCAGGATCTTCTATAGGCTTCCGCTCCGCAGCGAAACAATTCATATAGTTTTATGATTTTCACTGAAGTTCTCAAGATTTGTCTGAAGTTCAAATTATCGAAACTAATTCATAACTTCTTCAATAGTCTAGAGTTTCCTGGTGTTTTTAAAACTGCCCAAAATATTTCTCAATTTCCTTAAAAATCACTAGACTGCCCTGCGTTAGTATTTTTTAAATGAACCCATCATTTTACTGGAATTGATTTAATTGCCTTTAAGTTCTACAATTTTCCTTAAGTTTTATAAAGTTTATAAACGCTCACGGAACTTTACCTTAAATCACTAATTTTCCCTTAATTTCTCTAAATTGATCAAATGTTCCGGTAAATTTTCTGATATATATATTTATAATTCCCTGAAGCTTCTAAAGTTTTCGAATCAATCATAGAATTCTCAGAATATCCCATCATTTCAAGGAACTCCTTGTAAGACATTGCAAATTTCCTTAAGTTAATGGGATTTTTCTGATGTTATCTAATCGTCTTCGAAATTATCGTGGAATTGCTATTATTTCTTGCATTCCAAAACCTTTTGAATCAATCGTAAACGGCAATATTTTTCAGCAGGTGAAAAATCTAATTACAAGTAAACAGCACGGCTTTTTTAAAGGTCGCTCAACTACCTCTAATCTTCTAGAATATGTATCTTTCATTATTAAAGCGTTGGACATTGGCAAGCACGTTGAAGCGCTATACACCGACTTCAGTAAAGCATTTGACCGCATCGACATACCATTATTAATCCTCAAATTGCAGAAAATAGGAATGGAGCCTGGACTTTTAAATTGGCTTCAATCATACCTAACACATCGTAAACAAATAGTCCGCTTTCAAAATAAACTTTCAGAACCAATTTCAGTCACCTCTGGGGTACCCCAGGGTTCTCATTTAGGCCCACTTCTTTTTATTTTGTACATAAACGACATTTCCTACATACTTAAAAAAATAAAATTGCTTGTATATGCAGACGACATGAAGCTCTTTATGGAAATAAGTAATTCTAGCGATGCAGAAGAATTCCAGAATGAAATCAATATATTCCACTACTTCAACTGAACGTAAAAAATGTACTGCAATAGCATTTAGCAGAAAAATTGAAACACCGCATATTGAAATATCATTAGGCAACCAAATAGTAGAAAAAAGCAAAATTGTAAGAGATCTAGGTGTAATCCTAGACTCCAAACTAACTTTTATAGAACATTATAATACTATCATTAGTAAAGCAAACAGAATGCTAGGCTTCATCAAAAGGTTCAGTCATAATTTCGAAGACCCATACACTATTAAGCTTTTATATACCACATATGTAAGGCCAATTCTGGAATACTGCCACCTAGTATGGAATCCATACATTTCCATACACGAAGAACGCATAGAATCTGTCCAAAGACAATTCCTTTTATATGCTTTACGTAAATTGAATTGGACTGCATTTCCATTACCATCTTATGAAGCGCGCAGCATGCTCATCGATATACAAACACTTAAGGAGCGCCGCCAATTTGCAATGCTTTTCTTCATCAACGACATTATTTCAATGCGCATAGATTCGGCAGAAATTCTCGCACAATTAAACTTTTACACACCTTGTCGATATCTTAGAACACGGAATTTATTTTCAGAAATATCGTACAGAACAAACTATGCAAAAAATAGCCCAATCAATCGAATGATGCACCTATATAATTTACATTGCGGAACTATTGACATCACTATGTCCAAGCAGCAAATAAAAACTAAGCTAAAACAGAATAGAATTAATGCATAGTATGTAAGTAAACATTGTAATAATCATTGTATGTAGTCTACACTGGCTTGACGAAATGGAAATAAAATTGAATTTCGTTATGACGTCAGAAGTACTCGGAACTTCACTGAATATAATGAAACAATTAAGAAGTTCTCTGTGCTTGCTAAAAGTTCTCGCCTTTTTTAATTAATGGTACTTCGTTGATGTTCTCTAATCAACTTAGCTAAATTTTCGAATTTTCTATAGATCTTGAAATTTCCATGATATAAGACCATTGAAATACTCTCATATTTTCCGGATGTTCATAGAATTTTTATTGCGTTCCAGAAATTTTCTCTGAGCAAACCGAAGTTTCCGGAAATTCCGGTTTCTGCAATTTCCTTGAAATTTTTTGAACTACCCTTTAATTATTTCATGTTCTCGGAGCTTCCCTAAAACTCTCAACTCTAATAAAGATCTCAGTTCTGCTTTTAAATAAATGGAATTCTCGTAAACACCTTTAAACTTCCCTGGAATTCTCTGGATTTCTGTGAAGTCCCTGAAATATTTCTGAAGATTTCATAAATTTTCTGAAGGTCTCTATACTGAATCGCTCCGAACATCTTAAGAATTCTCGATTTTATTACAGCACCTAATGGAACTATCCTGAATTTGTCTAAACTCACGCTTATAGATTTTTAAACCAATTCAATTGACTGGGCTAAAGTTTCGGGGCACCCCTTAAGATCTCTGGAATCTAGCTCTTTAATCTAGCTGAGATCAATAAATAATTCATTAAAGTTTCCACATTTTTGATAGTACGAAACGTCAAGCCATTGAAAAAGGCGTAATCTTAGACTTCCTAAAATGAAGTAAGTGTTCAACATTTAATGGATTTGAGCTAACGCTGTTTCTTTAAAACTGATTGTCATATCTTAAACACGTTTGCGTTAAAAACATATTTTTTACGCATTTCATAAATAGTTTCTTATTATAAACCTGGAAATTATCCGCCAAAGTTATAGAAAAACCTGGAAAGCTCAGGGAACCTTATTTAGCCAAATGAGTGGACACCCTGTAGATATTTAGAGAAGAATGATAAACGTAAAAAAAAATCTCTATACCAGGTCGTCAACTTCGAATTGTTCAAAAATAGAACAAAATATAGGCCTATCCAGAAGAATGATCAATCTTGAAATAAATTCACGTTTAATTTTTTTTTTTGAAATAGTGACTTATTGCTAGAAAAAGTGACTTTAGAGACTTTTTAATGACTGGCTTGATAAAAGTGACCAAATTACTAAAAAGTGACTCGCATCCAGTCCTGCTTATAACTCTGTCAATAGCGGATGGATTTTAATTCTAAACAATCTAATTTATTGGAAATGTTTCTACGAATCTCCTAAAATGAACACTTTATCAATTTTCAATAGGTCACTATTGAAAATTACACACATGTCCAACTGTTGCAATGGTGATCAAAATTATCACCGATTGCTTGCAAAAAAAAATTGTTTCCCTAACACAGTCGCCGAATATTGATACCGAGTACGTAATCCTACGCTCTACGACTCTACGGTCCTGTCTTGTATACAACCTCTTACTTTTTTTATTTTAAAGCGATTGATTTTTTTGTCCGTATTTTTGATCGTGTGACCTCAATTTCAGAAAAAAAAATCGAATAAAACGGTGATAGGGTAGAGAACTACTTCGGCCTAATCGCCCATTTTGGGCCTATCGAGCAGAAAACTTCAAATAAATCCATGATTCCAGAGTTAACAAGTCAATTATGCGTTTGGTACGATACTTTGGTTAATAAGCTACGGAACGAAGTCAATGAGCACGCGTGATATGAACGTTTGTACCCATTATTCTCAAAAACAAAAAGAAGTGCTCCGACCGAATCAATTTTTATCTTCGTCCGATAGGCCGAAGTGGATTCAAAGGCGTTTCAATGGCGTTTCAATGCGTTAGGCCGAGTTCAGAATCCGAGTTTGGCGTCAAGAAGCAGTGTTAGACTTTTGGCAATATCTGAACGATTGGTTTCTCTTTATCAAATGTTACGGTACGTACAGAAAGGTAAATACATTTTTAAGCCATCAATAATAACAGCATTCCGTTTGGTACTAAGCCGCACTAGATTAAGAAAGACTAAGTGCGGGTTGTGTTTAATAGCCCGGAAATGGGGTAGTTATCTCTATTGAAAATAATATACACATTCATTAAATGGGGACAAATCCGAAAATAAAACGCGTGAAACAGAATTGAGAGTATAAAGGAAGATAAAGAGTCAAGATGTTCTAGACTAACTCAATAGAAACTCGACTTTTAAGAATACTTTGAAACTTGGATTTCGTTTTATTTCATGCATATTTAGTGTGTGTAAAAAAATGTAATCCAAAATCTTTGCAACTATTTAGTGAGTTGATTATTCCTGGGAACGACATAAATAAGTGAGGGGTTACATCAATTACTGATCATACCAAAATCCTAAGTGAAAAATCCACTAATGGACCAAACAACTCTGAACACATGAAAGAAATATAAAACCTATCGATTTGACAACACATAAGCAACTACAACCGAATAAATTTGCACAAAATGGATCAAACCAGAAACAACTCCGAAAACAACCTCATCCAACGCTACTTACAACACTCTAGGATGAATCGCGATTATCTGATTTACTACTTTTGAGTGTTTACAGACAGTCAAAAGTTTCTGAAAGTACAGAAGAAAGGAAAAGACGCAAACTAAACTTCTGCCCACCAGCATTATTCGTCGATTCGCTACGGTTAGAAAGTAACTAGTCACTCTTTTCTATGTTGTTGTCGGGGAATGAAACGGAAAACTGGCGGATGATTCTACCGTGATCATGATCCATGAGTGTGTGGTTTGTGCCATCGATGTTGTTTTTGGATTTGTATGGTACTACTTTGCAAAAAGAAGGTTAATTTTGATTGCCATGATGATTTTCTTTAAAAAAAAATTAACAGTAAAAATTAGTGCTCATCGCTACCATCAGCCGCTGTCGGGAATGATAAACAGAATGAGCTGGTTAAACGAATGAAAGTTAGGATTTTTTGCGCTAGGTTTTCGAGATTGTATTGATGCTGATTTGTGATTTTTGACGAAGACGAAGTTTTTCATACTGACCTCTTTTCAGCTCTAGCGTAACTGGATCCGTCGAAAGTCGGAGGCATTTCAGCACTGCAATGAAGAAAACAGAACAAAAAGTTATGAGAATGTGAGTAGGAGCAGACGCTGGCGGAAGAAGAAGAATAGCACGCGGACGAATGAAGGGAAGAGCATTAATGGTGCATGATGTACAGCTGAATAAGAATTTAAACGAAGGTCTTAACATTATTGAGGTTGATAAACAAATCAAATTAAATTAATTTAAAAAGAAACAGACAAATGACAAAATTTTATATATTCTCGCAATGTAAAAAATATCCGGTGCAAATTGTGATTAGGGCGAAACAAGCAAAATGTAAAATAAATTGAGAAAAAAACCGAGCAATGAGTTTGCTTGTACTCATTGGATTTTTAATTAAAGGTGTAGCAGTATTTTTTATATTGCAATTACATTTATGATCGGAAAATTGCTCCATTTTTATTTGTGTTGATTGTAAAATCCCTGTTTTATTAATTTTCTCTTGATAACTCGTCATTTTTATAATTACGCCCGAAAATGCGAAACCTTAAGAATACGCTCTCATTAAATCGCTCCTAATATGTATGACAAAAACAATTCGCCCAATACTATGCGCCTTGTTTTGATTTCCTTAAAAGTGTCACCCTTAACCCTTAAATTTTTTGTCTTCCTAAATACGGCTTTGGGATCATTGGTTTCACCCGTTCATTCAAATTTTTCAAAATTACGCCCTGTCGCCAAAAAAGAAAGTGTAATACATTTTTAAGTTTGATTAGAAATAAATTCTGTTACGTCTTTTGGATTGCACGGATTTTTCGATAGTGGAAGATAAAAAAAATATTTGTGTGTATTTGTCAGTAGATCTTCGTTTGCTCCGTCTGATTGCCATAAAATATCAATTTGTTTACATTTTGCCAGTTTCGCCCTAATCACAATTTATTGCGGATATGCTAAAAAATAAGAACTATGTTTGACTATAACAAATATTTTTTTTTTTTTTCGTTATGAATTACTGAAACGAAAATAAAATCGCGTAAATCTACATGAATTCTCTTGTACATTTAAGCAAAATTGTGCATGAACTATGAGTTTGCTGTACATCGGAGAAATTTGCGTAAATTTTAAAAGCGAATTATTTTGAATAAAAAAAGAAGCCAGTCAAACAATAAAGGAAAAGCAAAACGAAGATGAACAATATGACAAAAAGATGAAAACATAAGTTAATCCTAGTGGGCAGAATGGTCTTTCATAATGGATTTCATGGGAGGCAGCTCATTTCTTACCGTCTTTGGTGGTGAATCCGTGGACGTCGGTCCCATTAACTTTCACGATTACATCACCGGCTTCGACCTGGAACGAACGAAAGTGATAAAGACAAATTATCAGTCAATTTGATCTAAACAAGGGAATCAGGTTGCAGATTGCTCAGTAGATTTAAAGTAAATGAATTCAGTATTCTGAAGGTCGTACACCTGTTTGGTATTATCCCAAACAACCTTAACCTACTATATAATTGTGCAACTCGGTATTGTGATGCGTGACAGAGGCACCATCATCGATTATGGCAGGAGGATATTCCTACGGAAGGATAGAAAGGAAGAGACACACACACACATTGTTGCGCTTGGTAAATCCGACAGGAAATAAGTGATGGATTTGTGCGGAAGGTAGGTCCGTCAAGGCATGCCAAAACGTATGGCAGGCAGGCAGAATGCACAAACCAAGGTGAGTTATATCCGCATAGATTGATTGGCGATAAAATGTGACGCTTTTTCCCGGCTCCCGCTCCCCGATGGCAGTAAGAAAATCAATCATTCGGACTGCATGTTTACTGTTGTGTGCTCAGATCAGCCCACGCAAAACGGCAAAGCGATAGAGTGGCTGGTTGTTATAACATTGTTGCTCCGAAAAAAAAAAAAAAAAAATACATTGAAGTGTAAATTGAAAATTTGTTTATCACTGTTGCACTGTTGCTGCCACTATTAGATAATCATGTACATATATAGTTGGAATGATCGTTAATTGAATTAACAGTAAATAATTTATTTCGGAATTTTAAGTGCTTTAATTTTCAACATAAATGCTGCCATTTTCAGGGGTATTAGTTTGTAACAAAAGATCTACTAATGTATTATGTTTTTATGTTTTCAAGTATTTCTTTAGAATCATCTCAAAATTTCTTCAGAGTTCATCTTAGAACTCTCTCGCCCCATAACACTCTAGAAATTATCTAAGAAGGATCTTAGATTCACTCTGCAATTGTCTTAAAATTATATATTGGGTTCGCTGTATTACCTAGCAAAGAATTCTTCTGAAAGAAACTCACGTTTCCCCTAAATCACTATGCATTCTTCTAAAATTACCCTGTAATTATCATCAGAATTCTCTCTAAATGTCACCCAGAGTTCTCTTGGAGTAGACCCGTAAATTCCTAGATATGCTCTTCAGAACTCCCTAAGGATCCCTGTTTGAGTTATCTAAAATCATTACAGCAGTAACTTTGAAACTGTCCTAGCTATTGCTTTGAAATTTACCTCAATGCTCCAGTGGAAATTTCCTTACAACTTGTATTACTATTCTTTTGAATACTCCTTAGAATTGCTCTGGAATTAACTTCAGAATTTTCATTGAATTATTTTATGAATTCCCTTTGGATTCATTTCATCTTCTTGTCTTGGAGGTCTCTTATAAATTCCTTAGAATTCTCGTAAAAATTACTTGAAAGTTTGATTCAGAACTGTCTTGGAATTATCTCTAAAATTACATCGGAATTCTAAGAACTGGGTTGTTTAACTTCGAAAAATATACAAATTTTTATACATCATCTGATGGAGCTTCGAGTTCTGAACACAACGATAATTTTATCGATCCCGTAGACATTCATCTCGATTTTTAAATCAAGATTTAAATGTTTGATCCTTGACACTAAATCTATTCGTTGACAGCTCGCTCCCATACAAAGTCCCACCAAGGAGCGCTAAGATGGTGATTTTTGCTAATGTAATCGTACTTATTTAAAATAGTTCCAGTGTACCAAAATTGATGAAGTTTTGGATTTCGGTTACATTTTTAATTCAGATAACCCTAAACAACCCAAATGGCCGGAGGTGAAATTTGGCCGATTTCACCCCAGTCTCCCATATCCGTCCGAAGTGTGGACTACGTTTCGACAAACATGCGTAACCAAGGGTGTAGTAGGGAACTGCAAAATCACGAATGAACTGGTAATATTTCAAACGAAGGACTATCTACTTCCAGGAGTCAAAATGTGTTTTACTAAGGTCGATTTATCTCTTTATTGTTAAGCTTAAGGTAGCAAAAAATGCAACATCTTTAAGTTTTGAAAATGTGTCCAGGTTCAAAATCATTTAGAATACTTCTGTTAGTTTTGAATTCTGTAAGCTGCTCATGATTCAGATTGAAGATTGAAGAACTTTTCTAAGCATGAGATATCAAATAAAAAATTCCAAGTTTCAGATTTCCGTTTTTTTTTTTTTAATCTTATACACTGGAGTCGCTTTTTACGCGGTACGGTTTTTTTCACGGTTTTTTTTTTCTACGCAGATTTCGGAATTTACACGGTTTTTTTACGCGGATTTCGGAAAAAAAAACCGCGTAAAAAGCGACTCCAGTGTATAACGATAAACCACGTAAATTCTGAAATTCTCCTAAAAAAATCCGAAATCCACGTAAAAAAAACCGCGTAATTTTTTACGCGGATTTCGGAGTTTTTACGCGGATTTCGGAGTTTTTACGCGGATTTCAGAATTTACGCGGTTTATCGTTATACACTGGAGTCACTTTTTACACGGTTTTTTTTTCACGCGGTTTTTTCTACGCGGATTTTGGAATTTACGCGGATTTTTTTACGTGGATTCCGGAATTTACGCGGTTTTTTTTTTACGCGGGTCGTATCACCCGCATAAAAAGCGACTCCAGTGTATCTTGATTTGTCTTCTGTAGTCCCGAAACAAATTCTATGTTTGTATCATCTTAATACCCTTGGAGTTCTCCACATGATTTCTTTAGAATCCTCTTAATAATTTCCATAGAATCATCTCTACATTTTCTCAGAGTGCGTATGTTTGGTATTCCCTTACAATTTGCTCCATAATTATCTACAAATTCTCTACAGAAGGCTCTTTGATTCACTCTGAAATTGTCTTGAAATTCTTAATTGGGTTCACTCTATTACCTACGAACTTGGCGTCGGTAGCATTGGTACTCAGGACGGAAAACAATGAATTTACTGATTATTCTCGTAAAATTCCCATGCAATTAGCATCGCAATTTCCTCTAAGCTCCTCAGTTGTCCCCTAAATTCCTTGCAATGCTCCTCACAATTCTCTAGGAATTCTTCTTAGAGTTCTTTAAAAGTGATAGCAGGAATAGCCTTAAGTATTCCTTTGAAACTTTCCTTATAATTTCTTTTAATTAAAGACTGGAACGCGCAAAAATTGGTCGACAAAAAAATTGTTTCTTTCAGTCAAAATTCATATCACAAAAATCTTCTTATTTTTCTTTTGGTAGTTCAATTCATATGTTAAAGGAAAAAATGTTCGTTTATTTATTTGGTTTGACAAATCCGAACTGCCGTGCCTTCCGCTTAACCCCTTCGATTAAATTTTGCACAGTGGTCTCATCGACCTTTATTCGCCGCCAAATGCCAGTTAGATTTAAACTGCTGCTCGTTTTCCATGCATTTATTAGTTTTTTTTTTTGAGATTCTGTTTGACCAAGGCCCAATATCGTTCGATAGGGCGGAGTTCTGGGCTGTTGGGATGGTTGTGGTCTTTGGGTACCACAACCACGTTGTTCGCATCGTACCACTCGATTGCCTTTTTCCCATAATGGCAGCTCGCCAAGTCCGACCAGAACAGCACAGGTCTATTATGTTGCTTTAGGAATGGTAGCAGCCGCTTTTCCAGGCACTCCCGGACGTAGATCTCTTGTTGATGGTTTCCGTAATAATGAAAATGCCACTTTTTAGACCACACGTATGGTCATATGGCCTGCCAGACGAGATATTTTTTTCGGGAACTTCAATAATTTGATGGTTTTGAAAATTTCAGCCACCTTCCCTTTTCCTGATGCGGTATAAAACTCCTGTCCCGGAAACTGCTTGAAATCCGCCTTCACATAAGTTTCGTCGTCCATGACGACACAGTCGAACTTTGTGAGCAGATTCGTATACAGCTTTCGGGACCGCTGCTTTGCCGACGTGTTTTGTTTGTAATCTCGGTTCGTCACCTTCACCTTCTTAAACGTCGACAACCCGGCTCGTTTCTTGGCCCGCAGCACAGTAGTATGTGAGACATTGAGCTTGCCAGCGACGTCTCGGATAGAGAGGTTAGGATTCCGCTTATATTTCACCGCCACCTTCTTCGTCGTTACTTCCACGTCCGGATTAAGATTGCTGCCGCTTCCAGGCTTCCTGGCGGTCTACAGACGCTCCCCGAACACTTTTAAGACGTTTGTCACGGTCGATTTGGCCACATCCAGCAATTTTGCCAACTTGGCGTGTGAGAACGTTGGATTCTCTTGCTGCGCGAGCAAAATTTTGACACGCTGCTCCTCTTGCTTGGACGTCATTTTGAAAACTGGAGATCAAACGGTGAATACTCATCATAGTAACCATTGTATATACACTCAACTTCCAAATGCAACATTTCAGATTTTTTATGCATTTTTAACAGAAATACAACAATTTGAAGTTGACCAATTTTTGCACGTTCCAGACTTTAACTTCAGATTTTTTATAGAACTCGTTTCAGAAGTCCATTTGAATTCTCCTTATGCTTGGCATTCTACTCAAAAGTTCCATGGAGTTCTCCTAAAAAAATCTTAAAACTCTCAGATCTCTCTTGGAATTATCTTTGGAATTACCTTGGAATCCTCCTCAGAATTCTGTTGGAAATTTCTATTGCATCCTACAAGAATTCCCTTGGGATTCTACTCAGAACTACCTTGGAATTCTCCTTACGTTCCACCTGGAATCTGGAGTTCAACAAAACTAACTGGAAAGGAATGCTCAGATTTCACTTCAAGTTTTCCTAACAATTCTTGCAATTCTCATCTGAAATCCCTTGAAATTATCCCTAGAGTTCCTTTGAAATTCACATCAAATTCATTTGTTATAGGTCATAAGCTGTAAAATTTATTATCGTTTGAGATTGTCAAAGTTTAAAACTTGTAGAAATTATCCATGTTTCAGCACACAAATAATTCAAGTATCAGAATTGGTGTTGTTTCTGACGATAAATCCAATCCAAAATTAATATTTTCAATAAATAAAAGCAAATAGCGAGGAAAATAAAGTTGATTGTATTACAATACGTTTTGAATTTCTT